AGGGCGCACCGCACATTTTGAGGGGAAAAAAAGACGTTGAAGTGCGCCTTATAGTCGTGAAAATACGGTAAATGTAACGCACTAAATGTAACTTGGTACATCTGTAAAATCTATGCAAATATTCATATTTAATCATAGTTATTCTGTATGAAATACAAAAAAACATTAGACTCACTTAACACCCAAAAGTTAAGGCCACAACATAAAATACATATTAAAAACATTTTAAAATAATATATTAAAAATAAAAACAAAATTAAGTTGTATATAGTGTCTCTTGTTATAAGCTTACCTTTCAGAGATACCATTAACAGTTCCTTTAACTCCCTTGTAGAAACTGCTTGTTTAACATGAAGATAATTGTGGATGTGATTTCATGTGTGGCAAACAAATGTAATGCTTTGCATGTGTTTAACAATTTGTCAAAAACATCAAACCAGCCATTAATGTTAATTTAATGAACATATACACCAAAAGAACTCAGGCACTGATCCATGTGTACTTTCGAGGTGAAATAAGAGTAAAAAGAGAGTAAACATGTAATGCAGTCTCCTGACAATTAAGTCATTTCCTTCAAACATTACCTCAATATAAGTGTTATGGAAAAATATAGTCAATCCATTTCTCTTAATTTATGGCAAATGTTATTGCACCTAACAGCTAGCTAGTTCTGGCTGCAACCACAGTTAGCCTTGCTGTCACTGCACAAAGCTGGTCTAAAGACTGCATCAGTTAACCATCGCTTTTCTTGAAAATAAATTGCTTACTCCATACAGTTTTTTTTTGTTTTGTTTTGTTTTTTAGCCAAAAGTCAGAGTTGCATTGTAGCACATACTGGGGTATTTACCAAATGGTTATTTTCTTAAAATTACCAAAACCTTTTTGGGGCATTACATTTTCAAGGTTTTCATTCAAAGTTTGTGGCATTGCTCAGTACATTTTACAAATATGTCCTGTAAATCAATTTATAACCGGGAGTACATTTCTATAAATCCTCTCTACAAAGGGTTAAGAAGCCACTTTCGAAGCAGATGCTGAGAAAACCAAAAAAGAAAAATAGAAAGCAACAACTTAAGAGCCTCTTATTTTTTTTAAGGCATAGAAAAGTATTGCTCTTATTCCTCCTTTTGTGATAATGTTGCCAAACTGCAGAGTGTGTTTTATTAAGTAAAGCAAACCAAGAGCTCTGCTTGCTCTGACTCACATGTATAGATTGTTAAGGTCAGCAAGAGCTTCTTGTAAGAGCAAAAGACATTTATGAGGATAAAATATAAACATCAAAGCCACAGACCCTGAGAAGATCATTATTACACTAAGAGTTGTACTATGTTAGTGTTTTGCTGCTGCATAAAGGTTTTAAAGTGTTTTAAATGCTTTTTAGGGGAAAAAAGAAGAAAGATTTTTTTTGTGGTGTTCATTATAAAAAATGACTAGCAGAGACTACTGGACAGGACAATGTGTGGGCTGTCACACTCCAT